TCGGTTGACTGTGCTATTTTTAGCGTTTGGTTGTTGTGTGATGCATTGTTGATTGTTCATCCTGGTCTTGTATTTTTTTCTTATGCCTTGTCTAAACAATGTTATTTATGTAAAATGGAAAATATATAAATTTAACCTTAACTAAAATAAAAAGGAAATCAGTGTAACACTTTCTCCAGAAAATAGAAATATCGAAAAGTTAAATTTCCTTTAAAAAAATTGTTTTTGCATAATAAGATCTATATATAGTGCATATATAGCATTAGTTGATGAATGAGGGTTTTAAAATAGAAGAAAAAAGCGGTTCCATTCAGCCATGGTCAATATAGAGACAAGTCAAGTTGAAAAAGCTCTCAAAATTGATGACAAAGTTGAAAAAACAAACAATAAAAGAAAACGTCATCTTCTCAATGATGATAAACTCGCTATAATTGAGAAAGCTCTTATAGATGAACCTGATATGCAATTAAACTTATCTTCATTGCAATCATGAGCAAGCAAACTTGGTCAATTTGTGAGATTTATGTATTTATGGTTAATCTTTGGATATATCGTATGTTAATTCATTACCATCTAACGATTTGTTTTTTCCTTTTTCTTTATAGGGGTCTGAGCCAACAAGTATACAATTAAAAAATGGTTAGGAATTTTTTTTTGGTTAATTGCATAAATAACCAATTTGAGAATTATAATAAAGCTTATAGCCATGAAGATCATTAATAGAGTCAATAACCAAAAGCATACCTCACTTACCTCAAAATACCCTTCGCACGTGTGGAGGTGATCGGTAGATACGGAGGATCTACTGATGTCATAGAGCCTAAGCGTCGTTGTCGTGTGCAGCTATGAGACCATAGAAAATCTGCTCTCTAACCTTAACCTAATTGCAATTAATTTTTCAAATCACAGTTTCCCTCTAGTAATTGTGTGGCTAAAAATCGATGGAGTTAAAGATAAATAGGGTCTATACCATTTCTTACCATCTAGATCTACCTTCTGTAAAAAGTAGAATATGGCTGATGAAGAAGATGCAAGTGGAGTTAATGCTCGTGACCGAAGGAATCCGGTGAGTTAATGGCAGACAGATCTGGATTTTATACACTATATTATGTTTTTAAAGTTTTTACTGACTATACTATAGATCTGAGATATTGTGGGAACATAGTGTGGTCCTGATATACTAAAGGATGTTTTGATAGGGTTGTTTACTACGAAACTATGTCTGTACTTAATGTAATTGCTAATTTGTTACACATGTGAGAACAAATTTGATTTTTAGACATTGTACTAGGTTATTAATGTATTTTTAGTTACTAGACTGTAGATCTGGACTATGTTGGAACATAGTGACGTTATGATATACTATGTTTGAAAATAATGGACTTGCTGATTTCTTGCAGATGTCAGAACAAGACAAAGTTCTTGTCGTTATAGGCTCATAGAATAGAGCAGATGATCTGTCGTGGCATTTTGAAGCGGATATAGCTGAAGGCAATACTTTCATTAAACTACGCTCGGCTATGCCCTACTTGGAGTTGCTTGGATTGGTGAAGACGAAGCTCCATCTTCTAGCACAGAA